AGTTGTTTGATGTATTGTCTTGATATATACCTGCTTTCAATTTTGGTATAGATATCATGGTAGCCTCGACGACCCAATCGGGACTTCTATGCTAGTTGACTATTTATTTATATGAACTCTTGGGAGTAACTGTTTCTTTTATAGATCTGTTGACAGGGGCCTTGCCAGTCGAGTGCTTAGTTTTAAGCCGAGATATACTTGTTTGTTTTCTTGATTGCGTGTGGCTGTCATGCGCTAGTAGCAAATGGTTCAGCAGGGTTGGCTCGGGCCTGAGTTTTGGCATTAGGAGCCAGTTGCCCCCCTTGAGTTTGGGGCGTGACAATAATAGGACACTTCCAAAATTAAGGTGTCTTTATGCAAAAACGGAACAACTTTAGTGGTGACTTTATGTCTTTTCTCTTAATAATATATGATATGATATGATATGATGATGATATAGTCAGACAATCATTATACATTTTTAATCATCATACTTCACCAATTTGTGGATACATTTTTTCCAATCCTCTTGTAAGTCGTTAAACTTCATTTCGAGTGTCAAATAAATTTTATATTCCCCATAAATTTTTCTATTAACATGTTGAATGTTATTTAACTCAAACCAATATGCCCCTAAAAAGGTAACACCAATTTAAATTTATGTAGGATAATAAATACAAAAAACAAAAATAATAAGTAATAATTGAGGACTGTTTCAAACATGTGGTACTTGTTCGCTCTGGTCCACGGTAAGTAGGTGTGGACATGGTATGGTATATACCGAATTATCATATCATATCAAAAAATTTAATATCGTGATTTTGGTATTATGATATTTGGTATGGTATATGTTATACATTTTAATTTTTTGGGTATTCGATAAGGTCTTTGGTATTTAGAAATATCATACCGAAATATCGATACCATATAGAAGTATATAGTTACATAAATAACATATATATTATTAATATACTACTTCTTCTGTCCCTAATTACTTGTCAATTTTTCCTTTTTTAGTTGTCCTTAATTACTTGTCCATTTTGACAAATCAAAAAAGAACAAATTTTTTTTACCTATTATATCCTCAATTAATTACTTTGAAAAAAGTAGAACTTTTTGAAAAAGGTTAAATTTTTAATTCACCCACTTCATAATTAATAGGGGTAAAATGGTAAAGTCATTATATCAATTATTGTTTTCCTAATAGATGTGTCAATTCAAAAGTGGACAAGTAATTAGGGACAGAGGGAATAACAAATATGCAACCTAGTATTAGGGCCCGTTTGGCCATAGATTTCCCAAATAATATTTGGGGGAAAATTTGGCAAATAGTGTTTGTCCATACAATTTGCCATTATTTGGCAAATATTTTTGGCAAATATCCCAAATTCCCAAATACTAGTTTTTTCTAGTATTTGGGCTAAATCTCATTATTTGGGATCTTTTGAAAATTGAAATTTTACACCAAACTTTTATCTTTTACAAAAACACCCTCCATAGTAATGTTTACGTTGTATTACTTAATTTTTTACGTGAACACTAAAGTAGTAATGAAATATTCAGTGAATATGACAGTGATGATATGGTTATTGATGAAAATGATGAACAATCGGGGTCATGGTAGCAAAGTCATGTGCTTTGTCTCTACTTCACAATGTATGGAATGATGCTTGTTGCACTCACTCCAAACTACCACATTGCTCTAGTGTCATGGACACTACTTGTTATTTGTTACAACGAAGATCCAATTGACTTGTAATACAAATTTATGGTTAGTTTTGATAGTTTTTAAACTTATGGGTATAAATCATATTTTTCTGAAAAAGTGAAATATATTTCCCAAATACTATGGCCAAACACATGGTGGAATTTCACCCCAAAATTTTTCACCCAAATAATATTTGCCAAGAATATTTGAAAATCTATGGCCAAACGCTAGCTTAGTATAAACTAAATGCTTAGAAGTTAAAACTTTGACTACTCTATTTTGATTGAAATATATTTGAATTGTAATTGATTAACAAAATGAGTTGTTTGTACTTCATTTTGCATATCTATTTCTACATGTGTATTGCTATAAAATTGAGACATTTTTTTAATTGTCGAAGTCATAATACTCTATTATACGAGTATTTATTAGTCGAAGTTAACCAAATTATGGTTACCGATTTACCATACTGTAGAATACAGAAACCAAACCATTCAGAATTAAATTGATATGGTAAAGATATAATGTTTTAAAAACTGAATACCAAAATTACGATATCAAAATTTTCAAATACCATACATCGTACCATGGCCACCCCTAACGGTAAGATAGCATTTTCTGATTTCTCCAAAATGAAGAATGTACAAAATCCACATGACCATTTCAATAAGTATAATAGACATAAAATCAAAATTCAATGACAAGACGATAAATGATAGCTCTTCAGCAATAATAACACAATTTGTAAGATTTTTTCTGATTTTGTATCCTTTTCATATCTCACATGCTTAAAGCGATGAATTGCCGAATACATTTTCTAATTCAGTTAGGAATGGGTATCTAACATGTCTGTTTAAGGGCAATTTATATTTGTTTTAGGGTATTTTAGATCAAATTGTTATGTGTTATTACCCTAAAAGCTGAGATTTGAGAAGCCACCGCATCACCCTAATCGGCTTTTGTATCTCTGTAAATTCTCCATTCTTCTTCCTCTCTCGGTCATAGACCAAATTGCTATTCTATCATCTTGATTTTTTTTTGGGCATTCTTTTGGGCACCTGCAAAGAATTGTTGCACTAAGAGCTATCACTCGTCATCTTTCTAGCAGAAATCCGTTCAGGAAAAATTAAATTGCAAAGTTATTATCTTCAATTTACTTATAGTTGCATGTGCTTAGTTTTCCTTTCATTTCCTCATGATTTCAATAAAATTTCAAAATTAATTTTGTACTCCATTCAATTTAAATTTCAGGAAAGAGTTACTCTTGCTTAGCTTGTTGCATCCAACTAGCTCGATTCTCATCCTACATTCTCAGTGTGTTGTTGCAACATTAAGGTATTTCCTTTTTTTAGTTGTTCTTTCCTTCTTTCTTCAGATTTGTTTGTGCATACAGATATGGACAGTAAGAAAGGGGAAAAACAAGATGAGAGCTCTTATTTATGAATCTTCCGAATCTATACGAAATTTTGATTTTTATGTTGGTCAAAATCTTAAACAGAATTCGAATTAGGGAAAAAATCGAGATAAAAAGTTTCTCCAGAATTTTTATTTTATCTGACTCACTGCTCATTCATCAGTGCTTAAAAATTGTGTTTCTCAATCCAATTTGATTTTTAAGGTTCCTAAAATTTTGTTTTGAATTTGAGTTTTGTTCTTTTTATTGATATATATGACATAGTGGACCCACAAAATTTCATGTATATTCATCAATTAGTTACTTTATACTAATATAAAGGGAAAATGCATAAGTACCCCAGCCTATGCCCAAAATTCCTGAGACACACCTAACTTTTACTAAGGTCCTATTACCCCCGAACTTATTTTTTAATTAATTTTTTACCACTTTTCGGCTTACGTGGCAATATAAACCAAATAGGTTGAAAGCTTTGTTCAACACGCGCCGGGCCCCATTTTTTCAACTTTCTAAAAAGTAGCTTTTACACTTCCTAAAATTTCAAAAAACTATCCTATTATTTATAATCTACTTTGTTAATATATGTTTAGTTAGTTTATAGATTTTAATGTTTATATATTTTATTTCAAATTTGGGCATGTAAAATTTTGTAAATATTATATATATAATTTTATTTTATTTATAGATAGTTACACTTTTCCAACTTTATCATAATTGTAGGATACTTATAAGACTAGAAGGTACTCTCTAATAGTGCATATAATTATAATTTTATTTTATTTATAGATAAAAAAATATTAAGTATAATCTACTTTGTGAATATATTTTTAGTTAGTTTATAACTTTCAATGTTTATATATTTTATTTCAAATTTGGGCTTGTAAAATTTTGTAAATATTATATATATAATTTTATTTTATTTTATTTATAGATAGTTACACTTTTCCAACTTTATCATAATTGTAGGATACTTTACCCTTATTTAGAAGTGACACTTAAAAAGGACCAACACTGCATCTGCTGATTGTACCAAAGGCAGTACTAATTGTACATTTAAAAGGACCAACACTGCATCTGCTGATTGTACTAAAGGCAGTACTAATTGTACATTTACAAATTGTACATTTAGAGGACCAACACTGCATCTTGTCATTGTACTAAAGGTAGTACTAATTGTACATAATAAAGCCCTCTCTCATTTTCCTTTCACTTTCTCTACAAGTTTCTCAAATTTCTAACCCTAATTTCTCTCCCTCTCGACTCCTCTTTCGACTTCTGAACTCTTCAATGGCGAATCGACCTGTTCTTTACTCTTTTCTGTTTCTCTACATCTCTCTGAAGCTTTGCTGAAGATTTCTGTTTGTCTCGGACGACCTGCGCAGGTTCTTCTTCATGGTTTAACTGAAATTTTAATGGCGACTCCATCTCTTCTTTACTGTTTGTTGTTTGTCTACAGCCTTTAAATCTCTCTCTGAAGCTTTGCTGAAGATTTCTGTTTCTGTCGGACTAATGAATTTTGATTATTGTGATATTGCAACTCATCAATTAAAAAACTCCCAGAAGCTCAGATAAATAAGTATAGATTAATCAGTTTGATTAATTCTTTAGTGTTTTCGGTTTGTCTACAGCCTTTAAATTTCTCTCTGAAGGTTTGCTGAAGATTTTTGCTTGTGTCGGACGACCTGCGCAGGTACTTCTTCATCCTTTAAGCAAAATTTCAATAGCGAATCCATGTGTTCTTTACTGTTTTGTGTTTCTCTACAGCCTTTAAATCTGTCTCTGAAGCTTTGCTGAACATTTCTGTTTCTGTCGGACTAATGAATTTTGATTATTGTGATATTGCAACTCATCAATTAAAAAACTCCCAGAAGCTCAGATAAATACGTATAGATTAATCAGTTTGATTAACGCATTAACCTTGTAAAAGAAATTCTTAACTTTGGTTGAAGCATCATGGAAAAACAGTAATGTACCTGAGCAAGTGTTCCAATTCATAAAGATGGTGGATAGCTATTTTGTGTTCCTACTTGTGCGTTGATAGTTGAACACCCTGCAGTCGGAAGTGACATACTATGTTTAGGATATTTGGATCAATTTGGTGCATGCAAAACGTATAACTGCTTCATGAGTAACTTGAACACATATAAGATACTATTTCTTATGATGCAAATACGCATGATTGTGTATCATGTCATCTGAGGCTCCAGTGTCTACAATCCATTTCAAGCAGGAATAGGATTACCTGCTAGATTTGCACTACTTTGAGAATCTAAAAGCTCATTATGTCCTTGCAATATAACACACATCTTTTGAATTTGTTCAGGTCTTCATGAAACAAGGGATAATAATATGCTATATTCTTTTCAATAATCAAAATCTAACGATGACATTTTAATAGCCATCATTATTAGACGAATTGTTCATTGAGCAGAAGAATGTTGTTATGATATATCATATAATAGTTTAAACTGCATGGTCTGCTTGATAGTGTATTTCAATAGTTTAAAACGCAGGGGAGCTGACACCTTCTCAACTCTGTGCTTTTTGGTAGATAAAGAAAGTATGTTAATTTATGTATCTAAATTGTAGGATAATTCTGCTGATATAAAGGAATCATCATTTGTCATTTAATATGGTTTTTTCCATTTAAAAATTTTTGGACGAGGCATCCTGTAAGGGGCAG